AAAAAATAATAGAAATATAGAAATAAGGAACAGAAAGAAAGAGGAGGGAAATATATGCTACTCGAATTCGTCTGCAACTCACAAGCTATAAGATAGAGAATATTTAGAAATTTTACATGGCAAAAAAAGCTGTATTAAAGTACTGTATTCTTCGTAATATAGCTGGTGTTGTTGCGATTTGGTCATTCGTCTTATTTCACTTAATCTCGTTGAGGGCTTCTCGATTGAGAACGATGTGGTGCAGGAGATACTGATTGAGAGTGGGATGCCGGGTGACCGTTCGGAGATGGGGATCTGTCTCTTGGAGATCTTTCAGTTCTTTCTCTTGCTTCCTCTCTGGGACGAGAAGATGAGCGAGAGTCACGGCGCTTGGTTTCGCCTCTCGATTGTGATATAGACCTAGACCTTCTATCTTCAGCCATGCGTTCCTCCCCATTGGTTCGATCGCCCCTTTCAGGACTCCTTGGACTTCTGGATCTTGTACGACTGCGGCGTGTATCAGAACGAGGAGAACGACTACGTCCACGAGAACGAGATCGGGTACGACTCGCAGATCTAGTATATGAACGACGTCTTCTATGGCGCGGAGGAGTAAGAGATCGGCGACTTCTACGGGGCGAACCTCTGTTACTACCTTCATACCTCCAAGATCTAGAAGGTGCATTTTTGGCCCACTGAATAATGATGATGATAAATAACATATATCTAATGTATAACCTTAGCATAAAAAACAAGAAATGTTACCTGAATATTCAAAGCATGCCCATAAACTCTACGTCCATGCATTTCATAGTAGGCATCTTCAGCATCTCGCTCATCTTCGAATTCAACAAAAGCGTAACTTTTTTTTTTTTGGAATATAACAGGAAAATTTAATTGCATTTTTAGATAAGTAAATAAAACAAATTAATACGAAATTGCTACCTGTTTAGATAGAGAATATATGGATTCGAAATAAACAAAAACAAAGACAGAATAAAGTTGACGCAATACTTACGGTTTCGACGAAAAGCTTCTTGGGGCTGGAATATCACACCTGATTAGACGTCCATATCTGTAATTGATAAACATAGCAACTTTAAAAACTTGTCAAACGCAGAAGAGCTGTACCTAGCTTCAACTTTTAAAGTAAGACAGCGTTACTGCTTTTTTTTTTTTTTTTTTTTGAGCTTTTTATTAACCTTTCGAACTCATATGCTAAGTCTCTAGCTCTAATTTGGTGTCCAAAGCCAGCCACAAACAAGGTTGTTCTGCGATAACTCATTTATTTACGTTATTCTGTAAACGGTATAAACCAAATAGTAACCAGTAAAGGTCCGACCGATCCAAATAAAAGTATTGATTGATCCTAACTGTGCGGAAGATGGCGTTGCGTTTTTTTGTCTTTTTTGAAAAGGATTCTAGTGCTGTAGTGAAGAAAGAAAAAAAAAAAAAAAAGAGGTTATAATTATTTCTGCCCCTTTTTTTTCTCTTATTTAACGACCTTTACTCGGTCGGACATAATATTGGTCGTACAGTATTAATTTTGGCCGAAATCAAATATCGGCCAAAATTTGTTGATATTCATGCTTGATGTACGTACGTACGTACAAAGGTAACTATACTGGTAGATCGAGTTGTCATTTACGTATACATAAAGTTTACAAAGTTCATTTTATCTTTTCTTGCCCTACAACGAGTCTTTATTGCATTAATCGGTTTCCATTATAATATTATACAACCCAACGACATCCTTACTTACAATACTAACATAAAAAATTTCGCTTAAAAAAATTATCAGGTTAAGGTTTGAAGGGCGTGGTGTTGGCTAGAAAAGCGATCACTGTTTAATTATCGGATTATTTTGAAAATAGGGGACAATTACCCTACCCTAAATGTGTTTGGGCAAACGTTCATGCATTATTCGCTTTTGAATAGTTCATATATTATTGGTTTTTAGCAATGGATAATTCTATTACAACTCGGAAGTGGTTTATAGTTTAGAGATAGATCAGCGAACAACCCCTTTTAGCCGCGAAATATGCCACATATATATGTGTTATATAGTTTATATAATAAAACATATATATATACTATATATACTGTATATATATAATATATATAATAGATGTATTATATAATATATACTGTGTTTTAATTTTAATCGGCTAATAAATCTAATATAAAGAAAAGAGAGGTAGTTTTTTGATAAAAAAATAGAGGTTTGCTATTTATCACCACTGGTAATCATCACCAGTGTTGCTATATCTCAAAAACGTACTAAGTAAACGGGATCGGGTACTCTAAGTAAAAATGTTCAGAACCCTCAAAAACCTTACGAAAACCAAAATTGGGACTTTATATTAGCTCTATATTATCAGTCATAGGACATGTCCAACTAAGTGTTGTTACTTATAAATCAAATGAGTTGACTCACCTAATTTTATATGTAAATTTATGCAAAAAAATCATTTAAAT